CTTTAAGGGAATTTACGTAGAGTCGTTTCATGTTTTAAAATAAGGTGATAGTCAATTCTTCAATCAAGGAACACAACTTTTAAACCATGATCCTTTTACAAGATACATTCGACAAATTTATTAACTACACAAGGCATTGTTCACTTCTAAAAAGAATCCATACATCACAAATTGTATCATCACAAATTGTATCCTTTATGGATATTTGGTGATATATATAGACCAATGAAGGGATATTCATAACTTTGTGAGATGCCTAGATTTCAATCATCACGTTCTACAGCATGTCCAGACTTATTTGGATGCATATAATTCATGTTTTTACCTGCTGCCCCTTGAACCAAACTCGGTATGATACAGTTGTGTGAAGTCCAAGTTGCTCTACCTGTTTACGGACCAATGAGCATGTTCCGGTCCATGGAATAACAATACCAAAATCTTGATCGCCGCTATTAGACAATAGAAATTAGTAAATAGATAAAAATTTATTCATCCTTAATTAAATTGGTGTATATATACCTGTACATTAAGACTGGAATTCCTTGTTTGATAAGTGATCCTACAGTTTCAATTGTGGGTTTCTCTATGTCGAGAACACTATCAAGGGCCATCCGACATTATTCGTGTACAGAAAGGGCAAGATTTTGGCAGTTTTGGCTATCGATTCTTCTTTTTGGGGCAGAGAGTTTGTCTCTCTTGAAAGAAGAGACTTGGTGGACCAACGAACAGTCTAGGAACTTCTCATCTCAAGTTCATTAACTGTATTGTTAAAAGTTCTATAAAACTAAATAAACATCGCAAAATCTTAGTTTGAGATGAGTATGGTTGGCTGTTCCTTGAGCTAGTTCATGAACAGAAAACCCATGGTGAAAATAGAGGTCATCTCGCCGCCAACATCAGACCTATCACCGCTTTACGTCAACCTCCAAAAAAATTAACTCCGACAGCAGTAAGAAAATACAGTCTTCCCAGCATGTCTGGTAATTTGATTTTTCAAGTCATTTATTGTTTCTGGTAGAAAATCAAGAATCATAAATATTTGTACTACCTTTTTACAGATCCCGCAGCCGAAGTTTTCACCTGTCCAAAAAATGCTGATGACCAGATATTGTGCTTGACAGAAATTATTACATCTCCGTCCATCTCCTCTGTCGCCGAACCCTTCCTTGAGTCCCGCTTCACAGAACAGAATCGGAACGCCCAAACCAGCGGAGTCATGTACGTGGACGCGAACCTGCCTGCACAATTTCACCTCTCTTTGGTTAAGGTTTTAGAGGAGTGAAAAAAATGGTAGATTCTCTCATTTATTTTCTGAAGATCAATTTGAATTTAGAATAACCAGATCAATTTTCACGCCTTGGAGTCCCTGAAAATGGACTGCCGGAATGCAATTTTGGATAGTCAGGCGAATCACATCAGAATCAGACATGGCGGGCGAGAAGCAACGATACCGGAGAAGACTTCCCGACGTCTTTGTGTCCATCCACGAAAGAAAGCAATGAGAAAAAACTGGATAGATTGAAATGCAACCAAATCATGTGCCAATGGTTTCAACTTTTAAGTTTTAACCAAATCCGGCAAAACGTTCCCTTACCAGAGCTGCAATAATAAAATCAAAAATAAGAAAAGCATACAGCAAAAATAAAATCACAATAGAAAGTGGAGCAACAATAAATTACACACAAACAGTATACATAAAGATTTTTCGCGTAAAGATGAAAGCTTTTATCAAGAGAATTGGGGTTAGTTACAAATCATCCATATAACAACTCCAATTTCATACAGGTCGAAAGCAAAAACGCAGAATCGCCATAACGTGACATCTAAATATCAAGCAATGGAGACTTTGTGCAAATAATAACTTCTACAAACAGATTAATCTAAAATATAAGACAAGGGCCTAAAAAGCTCGGACCTTTTCAACAGCAAGAACATATGCAACGGCACTGACAAGTACATTAGTCAAAGAACCAGTCCGCTACCACTAGCTCCTGATTTCAAGCACTATATCACCTTCTTTAACACTGCCCGCAACCACTAGCTCCTGATTCACCGAGTCATTCAACATGTAGTGCTAAATTGGACAAGCAAAAACAAAATCAAAAACAGAAAAAATAGAGAAGCCCAGATTAATCAAATTTCTAAAGAACCCATTTTTATGGATATTATGGATCAAAAAAACTACCTGGCTAAGTGATTTTCTTGGAAAGCGGCCTCTGGAGTTTAGGGCATTAAGAGTGGAGTGATAATCATTTGTTTGCTTTTTAGGTTTGCTTTTGGAGGTTGAGCTAGCAACAATGCGCAGCGGTGAGTTTCGAGGAAGCTTGACGTTGGGGACGGCGGCGAGGCTGTCGTGCGCCGGCAGTGGAAAAATAATAGCCGTCGACGAGGGATGGAGGAGGATATTCATTGTGGTCAATATGGCTCACAAGCCCCGACAGGTGGAAGTGTAGAGTTGGAAATGAGACTCTAATTGATGGGGTATGGATTTGTGAAGAGGGGTGTTTACCTGCTCATGTCTTATATTGGTTATATTGGTCAGAAAAAGAACGCCACGTGTCAACCTTAGAATGCCTCACATTTTCTCTTATATGAATAGGAGAGATATATTGATTTCTTTCTGTTGAAGTTTCTCTACAGAAGATCCACTGAGTACTGTGCTGCAAATATTTAAGATCAAAATTTCTATGTATTCCATAACGACTACGAAAAAATAAACGCCTAAAACACAGCCATGAAAAGCACAAGTCTCCGCCTTACATGCCCGCGGCAATTTAAAACTTTTTAAGCCAAAACGATTACAAAAGGATAAGCGCCTAAACACGAACACGACCATCAACAACTTGAAAATTCTGATGCGTGTTACCAATCTTCTTTGCACAACCTCAATAGAGTCATATTTAAATTCAGCTGGTGCCATCCGTATAAGCACAAAAGCTTAACACCAATCACAATTAATTCTACTGTGAAACATTTGAATTCAAATGTAGGAAATATAGTTCGGAGAGTGATGAACTAAGTCGAGGAGACTACTACATTATATATACATATAAATATATGAGGTATATCTTTATATACCTAATATATATTTTTAAGAATTATCACATAACAAAAGTGTATATTAACCAGACATCTATGAGACTTGCTCGTATGACTTGAGATAAAAGACTAGAGCGATTAGTCTCAGCAAACAAAGGGAAAAGGAATTTAGACTAATGTATCACCACCAACTTATTAGCACATGGCAAATAAGTATCTTACTTTGGGCCCACAAAATCAAGTATTATCAGTAGGCTCATTTAAGGAGCAAATATATTGTGACTATTATCTCATAAATGAAATAGAATAAATCGAAACTCAAAAAAGGCAGAATATAGCCATAATCAGACTATAAAACAAAGTAGTTTATAATGTAAAAAATAAGTAAACAATTTGTGACTATTATCTTATATAAAAAGGGAGGAAATTAAAGCAGCAAATAACCTCAATTAGACGATAAGTTATAGGTAGTTTGTTGTGTTAAGAATCATTCATGACATAACTATTGCAGCAAATAATCTCAATTAGACAATAAGTTACGTAGTTTGTTGTGTTAAGAATTATTCTTGACATAACTATTCATCATTTTAAAAATCAATTTATCTTTCGCTTTTTACTCTGTAACTCTTATCTCTATCAGAAAGGTAGAAAAATAAATCAGATGGGTACGAAAAGGTATCTCTTTTCACCCCTCATGCTCAGGCGGGATTGTCGCCTGGACAATGCATATGCATGCTTTTAATAACTAGATAGTTCAACATCTAATATATGTAACTATCCCTATACGTACAACCAAAACGCACAAAGAAGCACAACAACCTATAAGGTAAACCTAGGTTCAAACACAACATAACATGCTCTTCATTATATCCCTATCCACATCTCTTCTCTCAAAATGAGAAATTCATACAAGGCCTTAAAACTGAAATTAGGACTTTTGGATATGCACATTTCAGCATACTTATTTTCATTACATAAGCTCAGCAAATAGGTACACATTCTCGACTCAAAACCACAACACACAACATACACACAAGCCTTAAAATCCCTTTCTTTCTTCTCAACTATATTCATACATTAATCCTCATCCTAAGGCCATATAACTTGAGGTAAAACAACACTTAGGCTTAGCATATACTTCACATATTAACTAGGCCAAAACATCATGTGAATCACATTCAACATGCCTTCATTTTCATCTATCTTTTCCCAAACACTTACCTGAATGTAAGGATTTAAGGCCATGATTTGTAAAGTGATGCTATGGCTTGGGCTGAAAAGTTTAAATAAATAGGCTCAAAAACTTAGGCAAAAGAAAATTGGACTTAGGCTTCAACATGGAACTTAGACTCGAAAATTTATTGGGCCTTAAATTTTCTAAAATCTTATGCATGCTTTAACTTAGTAAATCTTAGAAAAATGAAATAATAATAATCAACGGTTAAACAACAAATAAATGAACTAAAGAAAATAAATAAACATTTAGACAATTAAGACAAATTAAGCAATTAACCAAATAAAATAACAGAGTGTACAATCAAATAAAAGAAAGAGAACAAATAAGTAATTAATAGGACAAAAATAAACTCAAATCACAAATCAAGCAACACCACATAATCTACTATATTTTTCATTACCAAAAATAAAGCGGCATTATGCATCTACCAATCCCCTAAATTGGAAAGTTCAAACACGGTTAAATAAACGAACCTTTAAACCAATTTATGACATCTTTCCCTCAAATTTCTAGACTAGCTTACAATGGGGTGCGGAATGTCTGTAGCCATATTGCATGTCTTGCCACTCCCGCCTGCAATTTTCCATTAGAAGAGAGTGATACCCATATTCACTTGTTGCATTGGCTCAGATGGGAGCAGAAATTTTATCACAAAAAACGCGAGTATCAATAAGAGTAACTGAATCAGAGATCTCCGCCAAAACCCTGATTAACTCCACAGGCCCTAGGGCCCAGCCCGAATGGAAATCCAAAAAAAGAATGGATATCCCCAAAGAATGGTTGCGAGAAACTCGAAAACCAGATTTATTAGAATCCGACCTCTGTCTTCCTCTTGAGTCCCGTCCTCTCTGCCCAAGAGGTCATACTTTTTTCGTTTCTTCTGGTCACTCAGACACTGATATGCTTTGTTTACAAGCCGAAATGCTTTGTTGGCACCTGGTGCGTGATTCTTGTCGGGATGAATTTTCAGATAAATCTTTTTATAGGCTTTGCAAACTTGATCGTTTGTGCAGGTCCTTTGTATACCTAAAATTTGATAATAATCATTTGTCTTAGTCATTATGTGCTTCACGATACCAACATGCTCCTCCGTGTAGCCCGCCGCCGGTGCAGCGGATGATGATAGGGTCACCAGAGGTGAACCCTTGCGGCGGCTGCGACGAGTGCGATTTTCATTGTTCCCATCCATCGTGAAAAAAAAGTTAATAGCAGTTAGACGGTGAGTCTTTAAACAACAGACAACTGCTATCAACTTTTCTTTCACGATGATGAGAATAATGAAAATCGCAATCATCGCCCGCCGCAAGGGTTCACCTCTGGCGACCCCATCATCATTCGCTGCACCGACGGCGGGCTACACGGAGGAGCATGTTGATATCGTGAAGCACATAATGACTAAGAAAAATGATTATTACCAAATTGGGTATACAAAGGACCTGCACAAACAATCAAGTTCGCGAAGCCTATAAAAAAATTTCTCTGAAAGTTCATCCCGACAAAAAACATGCACCAGGTGTCAACAAAGCATTTCGTCTTGTAAACAAGGCATATCAGTGTCTGAGTGACCCGGAGAAACGAAAACAGTATAACCTCTTGGGCAGAGAAGACGGGACTTAGAAGGAGGATGTAGAGAAAGACAGAGGTCAGATTCTAATAAATCGGGTTTTCGAGTTTCTCGCAACCATTTTTTGGGGATATCAATTTTTTTATTTCCATTCGGGTTGGGCCCTAGGGCTGGTAGAGTTAATTAGGGTTCTTGGTGGAGATCTCTGATTCGGTTATTTTATTGATACTTGTGTTCTTTGTGATAAAATTCCTGCTCCCATCCGAGTCAGTGCAACAAGTGAATATGAGGTATCACTCTCTTCTGATGGAAGATTACAGGCGGGAGTGGCAGGACATGCACTATGGCTACAGGCACTTTGCACCCATTGTCAGCTACTCGAGAAATTTGAGGCAAAGGTACCCTAAATTGGTTTAAATGTTCGTTTATTTAACCCTGTTTGAACTTTCCAGTTTAGGAGATTGGTAGATGCATAATGCTGCTTTATTCTTTGGTAATGAAAAGTATAATAGATTATGTGGTGTGCTTGATTTGTGATTTGTGTTAATTAAAGCGTTCATCTACTTAATCTTCTTATTTGTTTATTTGTCCTATTAATTACTTATTTGTTTTCTCTTTCGTTTATTGATTGTACACTCGGTTATTATATTTAGTTAATTGTTTAATTTGTCTTAATCGTCTAAATGCTTATTTATTTTCCTTAGTTCATTTATTTGTTGTTTACCCGTTGTTTATTATTATTATTATTATTATTATTATTATTATTATTATTATTATATCATTTTTCTAAGATTTACTAAGTTAAAGCATGCCTAAGATTTTAGAAAATTTAAGGCCCAATTAATTCTCTATGGTGAGTCTTTAAACATTTGGTGAGGTTTACTCACAGAATGTGTAACACCCCGCCTAGAATCAGAGTAAATTTTTCGCGCTAAAAGAGGCAAGCTCTTATTTAATTTTTTAAAAACTCATACTAATTTTTCGAAAATCCTTTAACTTTAATAGTAGGGTGGTGGCTATCTATAGTTACTGTTCAACTGACTGCTTGCGAGAAGGGCACTTGGTCTTCACGCTCGCGATAAGCAACGGTAGGACCTAATCTGTAGGTCGTTGCCCATACTAGGGCAAAACTAACTCTATGCACTTCTAAGGTTGGAGCTTAACTCACAACTGCACTAGAGTCCTTAATACTAACTGGGGTTCGAAACACTTGATTATGATGAAACCTATCTCTAGATCAATGTCCAATTAGAGAAGAATTATTCTAAGATCATCTGAAATTAACTTAACTCAAGACTGCTCTAGGGTTCATAATTCACTTAACTCAAAGCTGCACTAAAATTCTTATCTCGTCTTAACTAGCGTCCGATTCACCTAGCTAGAAAAGGATCTACTTGCTAGGTAATTGCCCCTATTCGGGCGAAATCTTACATACATACCTCAGTCATGGTATTGCGATTATAGAAAATGTAGTACACAGTACAAGATCCCCACCTGATATGTTGAAGTGCAAGTGTTGAATAATTTGCAACGGTCGAATACTCGACTCTCCACAAGCTACAAAATATATAAGCACAAAATATATTCTAAGTACTTATCTTAAACTATCTTAAACTGAAATCTCGAATTATATTATCTGAGCTGTCTAGGTTTGTTCATTTGCCTTTAAACTCATTTTAGGGATTTACGAGCTAGTTTTGAAAAGTTATTGTCTTTGAGGCATTCTAGAGTTCTCTGAAATATTTCTAAGTCTAGACTATGTTCTAACTAAAATTAAATCTGATTGGGCTAAATTTAACTGGACTTAAGTCTATCTGAAATTTATCTGAAATATATCCAAAATTTATATCTGAAATTTATCTGACATTTCTGCCTGAAATATATATGTAACACCCTGCCTAAACTTATTAAAATCAGAGTAAATTTTTCGCACTATAAAAGGAAACTCTGAAAATTCATATTAATTTTCCGAAAATACTTTAAATATAATATGCAGGATGCTACTCAACTTTAATCTTAAATCTTTAATCTTTAATATCTTTAGACTACTAGGCATGCAACCGAGTATAATTCATTACTCTAAACATCTCAGGATTTAAGCATGCATAGACTGAAATTCTAGATACTGAAATACTGAGTGCGAAAGCAAATGTAAGCATGCATCAACAAAGCATAATAACTCAAACATGTTAAAATATACATGACATGTTTACTAGAAATATCCTTGCCATGACCGTCACCACATCATCGGCTCACGCTACACGCTCGACACCGTCACCTGAAAAATGGTTAGTGGGGGGCGTGAGCATAAATAATCCACGTGCTCCGCCGGAACCAGCACTGAAATATACAGCTAATATAATAACATATCATGACATTGGTATATAAGCAAGTACTTACAGGATAGGCAGAAACGATATGATGATGCTTATTTTACTAAGGATTAAACCTTCATCCAATAAACACTTAAATCAGCAAACTTACAATAGTTGCTACTTAACTGACTGCCTATAACTGTCGTTTAGCTGACTGTCTATAACTGTTGCTCGACTGGATGACTATAACTGATGCTCATCTGACTAACTATAATGGCTGCTCGACTGGCTAACTATAATTGTTGCTCAACTGACTAACTATAATGGCTGCTCGACTGACTAACTATAACTGCTGCTCAACTGACTAACTATAATGGCTGCTCGACTGACGAACTATAAATGTTGCTCGGCTGACTGACTATATCTGCAACATCGCGAACTAAACGTACCTCTGATATGATAAACACATCACGAACCTAAGCATATATCTAATATGATAAAAACACATCACAACCTAAGCATACATCTAATATGATAAAAACACATCACAACCTAAGCATACATCTAATATGATAAAACACATCACAAAGGCGTATAAATAATTATACTGTCTATAACGACTGTTGAACTGGGTATTTATAATTACTGCTCAACTGACTGCTTAACTGACGAGAAGGACACTTGGTCTTCACGCTCACGATAAGCAACTGTAGGACCTCATCTATAGGTCGTTGCCACTTACTAGGGCAAAACTAACTCTTATGTACTTCTAAGGTTGGAGTTTAACTCACAACTGCACTAGAGTCCTTGATACTAACTGGGGATTCGAAACACTTGGTTATGACGAAACCTATCTCTAGATCAATGTCTCTTAAGGAAGAATTATTCTAAGATTACCTGAAATTAGACTTAACTCAAGGCTGCTCTAGGGTTATTAATTCACTTAACTCAAAGTTGCACTAGAATTCTTATCTCATCTTAACTAACGTTCGATTCACCTAGCTAGAAAGGATTACTCGCTAGGTAATTGCCCCTATTCGGGCGGAATCTTACATACATACCTCAGCCATGGTATTGCGATTATAGAAAATGTAGTACCCAGTACAGACCTGATATGCTGAAATGTAAGTGCTGAATGGTTTGCAACTGCCGAAGGCTCGACTCTCCACAAGCTACAAAATATATAAGGACAAAATATATTTTAAGTACTTATCTTAAACTGAAAACTTGAATTATATTATCTGAGTTGTCTAGGTTCGCTCACTCGACTTTAAAATCATTTTAGGGATTTACGAGCTGATTTTGAAAATTTATTGTCTTTGAGGCATACTAGAGTTCTCTGAAATATTTCTAAGTCTGAAACTAAAATCTGACTTAAATCCAAAATATATCTGGATCTAAAATCTATTTGAAATCTTAACGTTATCTGAAATTTATATCTAAATATATATCTGGAAGTTATCTGAAATATATCTGAAGCTGCTATATGAAATTTATCTGAAATTTCTATCTCTGACATTCTATAAATATATATCTGAAATTCCTCGAATCGTCCGGACTGCCTGGACTCATTCAGCTGAACTAAAATTTTCTTTGAAATGTCCAGACTGCCGAGAATGGCTCGACTGAACTGGACCGACGACTCGCTCGACTCAACTCTTTTTTTTATCATATATATATATATTCTTTTGACTTGCCTAAAGTCCTCAACTAACATATCTAGAGTCTGAAATTTACTTCTAAATCGGTTCAGTTCATATTAACTTAATTAGAACCCTAGACATTAAAATTTATTTATGGGCTCGAAATTTGAGTCGAGAAAGTACTTAAGTTCTTAAAGTATTAAGGTACAAAAGTGGGACAACTCAACCCAACACTAATTTAAAAGCCCAATACCAATAACTCTATCCCAATTAACTATAAAATTCATTCTTTTAGCCCACATCTTTAACCCAAATATTTAACAAATATGGTCACCCTCATAAGTCCACTCACTCCACACAACCGACACACACAAACCCACAATTCACACACTCCTTAATTAAATGCACAATGGCAACATACAATTTCCTTCACCCTTTCCCATTTCCTTCTCTGCAATTTATTTCTTTTGTTTCTCCTGCAAGTCGCAAATGCTAGAACCCAACAACACACCAATCCTCAATTTTTTCAAGGCAAGTAACCTAGAATCTAAGGAAATAATCATCCTAAAATTCTTAAAGCTTCAGATTTGATTAAGCTCTTTAATCTCAAATATCACAGCATGGACAATATTGAATCCTTTCTCTTTCTTAAGCTTTTATTTCATTC